TGTCAACTTTTTAAATCAATTGTTTGTTTTTCTATTTTATTATTACTTTTTAACGTTTAAGATTTGTGATACCATGAATTATTTGCACAAACGGGCTCAGTTTATGCAGAGCTACTTGAAGTAGATGTGAAGAGCTTTGAGGAGCGGTAAAAATTCGGAGATTAGAGCAACGGCCCTAGTCTTATGTTGACAGCACCACGAGAGAGCTTAATCTTTTGTTTGTGTTCACTTTTTGTGTTATAGTTAATTTATTAGAAGTTTAATTGGTCAATCAGTTTAAAAGGATCGAGAAGTTAATGAATGTTGTGCACCTCAAAGGTACCAGCAAAAGCATGCAACGAAGACAATTTTTCGGTTTTCCCTTCTTCTTGCTGTCGTTCACCAATTGATACAGTTTATTAACGATGAACATACCTAAGCGAGAGCCCGCTTGGGTCATGCTGTAATGATATCTGACTGATTGAACGTTCCTAAGCCAATCATCGGTTATTGATTCTTAACTGTTTGATGTACAGGTTGCCATGACTTTAGGAAGGCTTTTAAACGTTTATCCATTGTCGTTTTTACTTAATTTGGGAAGGCACAGGAAGATTAGTTACCAATTTCAGCATATGATGATGTTTGCAGGTGAGTAATCTGAAGGTTGTTTTTTTCAAGGAAAAGAACATAGAACAAGGATATCATTTTTGATGATGATCAGTGTTATAGGTAGAGTACAATTCGGTCTGAAATTAAACGAGTGATTAACAAAATTGTACAACAGCGAAACGTGAGTCCAATTTGGTAACTCCGTAAATGATTACATATAGAATCGGAAGACACAAAATCCTATTCGAAATTAATCGATAGAGTATGCGTATTCCCCCCTTTTCGGCGAAGTCCGTCGCGCGATTAAAAGAAAATTGATGTCAGCGCGTCCCGATAGTTCTAGGAGTGACGTCAATAAAAGTATGTATCGAAAATTGGGATACACACCGTGGGTTAAACCTCTTCTACCAACACTAGATAATAAACTGGTGTTGAGTCGTTCTTGTTAAACGCCCGATTTTTTCTATTAAAAATGGTGGTAAAACTGAATGAAGTGTACTCAGGGAGAACTCAGGGGAGTAATTTCAAATCGCCTGAGGGTGAGGCTGTCACTTTTTTTAGAGTGACAGACTCAACTGCAATTACCGTAGGCATCTTACTGAGTTAAGTCATGCCCACTCACTCAAGCTTTGACGAGGTATTAAGTACTCGTTTTTTACTAACAATCTTCCATTAATGTATCAGTGTAATTTTACACCTTTTATCCGTTCAATGAAGGTTTGCGAGGTGCCGTTGCATTCGCTTTGGCCATGCGCAACACGGAATCAGTTTCTCGTCAAATGATGTTGACGTCAGTACTAATTGTGGTTTTAATAACTGTTATTATCAATGGAGGTGCTACCATGTCGGTACTCTCTTTTCTGAGGATAAGGTAGGATACTGTTTTAAACTTAAAGCAACTAAATCCAGTGGCAGACATTTCCATTTACAGCAATTTGTCAAAGTTCTTTGAAATCACCTCTGACCGTTGCAATCTAATTTGATCCAAGAGTTCCAAATTATTCGCTAGTCACTCTCCTAAGAATAGCTTCACTTTTTCTTAAAGAAGATATTTATTTTTTAAAAGAATTAAGTATTTTTTTCTAACGACGGAATCACAGTATACGTAGTACGTTCTTAAGTGGGTTCTGTTGCTTTTGAATCCAATTTTTAAAGTAAACATGCTCCATTTGTTTTTCAGGGTTGGCGTAGATCCTGAAGAAGAAGATAAGCGGTCTACCTATGTTTCGGTCAGCACTGTAGGTTCTTTCCGTATTAGTGTTCAAACTTTCTTGCCTTTTTCGGGGCAACCATGTTTAATTAACTCGAAGACCACATAAATAGATACTAGAGTGGGGTCTTCTTTGCTTTGTGGAGCGTGGCCATGAATCCTTTTCTTCCTGAATTTTGCTTTTATCTATCTCTGTTATTACCACTTCCGCCATCTATTAGCAAAGTTAGCCATCACTTTCTTTTGCCTCAAGTCGTCAAATGTGCTTTATTATTTTTCTTGTTTCGCCGGGTATGTTGAGTCTCACAGTTGTGCCAGTTTTACGCTTGACTCTCTCCTCTGGCCTCAAATGATTGTTGCATCTATACTCTGCAAACGGCCATTACCGTCGATTGCATCTATCCTTCTACACACATGTTCTGTTGGCGTAGCCAACTTCAATGTTTTGACAGCATTGCCAGCCCACTTGAGAGGGTTTTCACGCTTGCTGATAATGATCGGAAATGGCAGTTGCATCAAACAAGGCCAAAATATGTACTTGAACTTATGCCTTGTTTGTCTTTTTTTTTTATTTGTTTGTTTGTATGATCAACCACCGACTTACGAAATCAAGAAATTAAATCTCGCACAGCTAGATAACAACAAGGAACACAACATTACCTAACGCTCAAATCACAGTTTCCGTGGAAATATATTTGCGTACATTCTCTCGACCTCTTGGTACACACTTTGAACTTTTGCTGTCAAAACGTTGAAGTTTGATAGGCCAACACAACATGTTGTCATCGCGTGCGTGGAAAGGTAGACACAAACGACGGTACCTGTAGAAAGAGGTGTTAAGTTAGGCATTAAAGAATTAACCAAACACACAAAATATAGAAGGTTGTTGCCTGTTCTTTTTAATTTGATGAAATCATACTGTCGAGTCTCCTTGATTACTTTTCTGTGTTTAGTGCTTTTATTTTGATTGTTATTATTATTATCCAAGTTTGTTTGTGAACAATTCAAGTTCTTTTCGTTTAGTTTGTACTTGTCAATTATTATGTTACCATCTTTTTTTTTTTTTTTTTTCATGTTCAAATAATGTAGGAAGCCGACGACAATCTCAGATCTGCGCAGTCTCATTACGAAAGAGCTTGGATCTTTAGAAAGTGGTACGACTTTGATGTCAAATATCCTTTGATGAAAGAGTTGTGCTACTTGCGTTGCATTTTAATTGTGCTTTTGTAAAGCGAGATTGATGCTGTTGTATGCAGGAAAGTGTACTGTGCATGTCAGAAACTTTTTATTGAAACAGCTCAGCAGATTAAACTCGTTTGTTTTCATTGGTATATGGAGGTTTCGCCCATTTCAAGTTTGCCCTTTACCCTCTTTGAGAGTACGCCCCTGTAACAAAGCAGGTTCGCCCTCACCTATACCAGTTCTATGTCATGAATGGAACTGTTAGCGAAGTTATTCTTTCGCCCATTTCAACAACGCCCTCTACCATTTTAGAGAGTTCGCCCCTGAAGCAAAGCAGGTTCGCCCAACCTATACCAGTTTCATGTCATGGATGGAACTATAGGGGAGATTATTCAATACCGACCAATTTAGTTCTGGAATGATTAGGTGTTTTGAGTGGATAATCGCTATTTACTTTCTTATCGGGTTTACTTTAGTTTTTATCCCATAAACTTGGTGAAAAGGTCTTAGTTAAACAGGTCATATTGTTACGATGATTATTGTAAACCACTTCCAGAATGGAGTCAAGATTCCTGATTTGTTGGTAAATGTGGTAATTAGCCTTTTGGAGCAGTTCGCCTAGACAAACAGCATGAATGGGTATTTTAACGAAACCTTTAGGGTTTTTATCATTAAAAAAGGGTGATTAGAAAGTTAGGGTTCGTTCGTTGTAGGGCCATTGCGTTGGCTCAGTTTTAGTCGAAGCGCGAAGATAAGTTCGACACGAGAAGTGTTGCTATTGCACTTTGATTACAAGTTTATCCAGCCTCCGACAAACGAAAGAGAACGGGAAGAAGGAATAAACTCTCTTCCCTTCCTTCGCGCAGAACAGAGCACGTTGCATTGGAGGTCAATTTATTGGTGAAGGGTAAATGCAGTGAAAACGAGACTTACTTTCATTTCTTTGACAAACTTTACGTATATGAAACCTATTTTTACCAACTATGGCCAGCCTCTGACAGAGACTTTACCGGGATGGTGCGGTCCTCTTGCAAGATTCCTCTCAAGATCGCGGCCTGATGCAAAGGTACTGTTTCAAATTTAAGCGGAAGGTTTTTCTAGATAAATGAACGTCTAATCGTTTTTCTCATGGTGTAAGAGTCAGGCTAATCAATCGTGTGTTGATCGCGACGTTAAGACTGCTACACTGCTAGTTTTTGTCAGGCGACGAGGTTGGTAGTTTACATTTTGCTCTTTATAGTATTTTACCTTGTTATTTTGTTATCGCTGTGTCACAGCGCGCTCTCATTGGTGCATTTCGATCATCAGTGTCATTCCGTCTATTAGATGTTTGTCCCTCATAGTTGGGTTTTGTCTCTGATTGGCTGTCATGGTTTTTGATAGTTCGCATCCATGTTTAGGGATTTCGATTCCGTTATCCCTACTCTTTTTGTAAGGATAAAGCCTTATGTGATAGGCTTCTTTAACCCTTCCTGTGTGCCAGGGAAAGTCATGATCAATAAACCGAACCTGGTCCTTAACAGCAACATGTCCTGTTTTAATGTCGTGTTCCGAAATCGCCGAATTCTGAGCGCGAGCTGGTGCTATGTCTCTTTCATGGTTTTTAATTCTATCTGTCATCGCAACGGAAGTGGAAAATGTTTAAAACGGGGAGATAAAATTAAATATGGTGTGTCCCTGCAAATGTTTTGCATTTTTTTGTATATTAACGTTCATCCATATAAACTGCCATTTAACAACCGTAAGTAGGCAACTATTGGTGTGGACCCCAGCTTTTACGGGTCTTGTTTCAATGTAGGCAGAAACCGTGGTAACAGATAGCGACGAAGACATGCTGAATATAAATGGAGAACTGAGTTTTACCAGCGAAGTTATGGTCAGACCCGCCAGCGGCAGTGTGAACAGTGGTGAGCCGCCTGATCAGATATTGGAAGGAGACCTTGGATTAGGTGCTGTGCAAATGACAAGCAGAGCATGAATCATTTTTATTAAACCAAAGGTTCCTGTAAGTAATTAACTACCATAACGACAGCCAAGATCCAGCCTCAGATAAGCGCTTATCTGTTAGTTCAGAAGTTAAAATTAAACCTTCTCGCCCTGGTGAAATAGGATCACGTCTAGGAGAAAAAAAATAGTTTTTTCCTTCAATTAAAAGTGGAATTGCTTCTGGCATTGTCAGGTATGGAGGCCTCGGTTATTCAGCTACTTCATGCACCCTATGAAAATTTCGGGAACCTATATCGTGCATCTCAGATTCTAACTCTAGCCTCCTATGTAGTCGTCAAGGGAGTCGTCACACTTCTCAGTTACAAGCAAACTCCCTTTTTTTTAATCATGCATTTCGTATCGATTTCTAGTTTCTTGGTCTGGTCAGGTAGTTGTCATAGGATGTCGACTTAAAGGAGAGCTTAAAAACTGTCTCTTTTACAGTGAAAAGCGCTGATTGTAAGCTAACTGTCTTTAATTGTTAAATTGTAAGTAGTAAGAGTGTTTGGGATACGTGCTTTGGCCAATTAAGGTCAATTTATTGGTTCGGTCTTATGTAGTCTTGTAGAAGTTTAAAGTATTTCGCTCCTCGTGATTGGTGTTTTACTGTCATTGACTTTTTTACACTCTGATTGCAATTTTTCTACCCCTTTAATGAATGTACAATTTTGAAATAGTCTTTCCCCTCGTAACACTATATTCGAGAGGAATAATTTCTTGATGGTTTCAAACATGTTAAGTTCGAAGCCGTATGAGAAGTGGAATTTTTTGCAAAGTTAGTTTGCTAATCTGCTATAACTAGATTTAATTTCAATTATATTGATGAATAGTTAATTTTTGAAATTCACAAAAATTACTTAAAAAGGCGATATTCGTTATATGAGGCACCTTTCAAGTTTAAATGGAAAATGATTACTCGACATTCTGTTTTAACCGATGGACGTGAGCCGACAAAATTAGGATGGGCTCATAGAGTCTTATTTTACTGATTGTTCTTGTTGAGATTAGTTTGTCAATTTTCTTCTGACTCATGCCTAAAGCTATTACACGTAAGTAGTTTTCCTTATAATAAGTATTACTCCTTAAACTTTGTAAGCTTTTCATTTCAAATTTTCTACCTGTTCGTAGTGTAATCGGTCACTGGTGTTTTCCTTCAAATAAAGCGATTTTTTTTTCTAGTCAATATACAGGAAATTGTACTTGAAAGGTTTTGAGTAAGTCAGTTAATGCAAATTTAACATATTTTAAAGGAACTCGTATCTTCTTCACTTTGCCTTCGTCAAGTTAAAAATAAGAAGATTTTGTCTAAGCCACCGAGAATTTGTAAGAAGAATTTTATCTAGCGAAAATGAACTTTAATAAAATAAAGATTAATAGTTTATTGTCAAATTTTGTATGGTTTCACATTTAATTGGATTGGTTATTTTTTTTATATTGTCGTTGGAGCTGTTGTTGTTGTTGTTTTTTTTCATAATTAGACTAACCTTTGTTTTAGTGCAGATGTCTCACTCACTCAGTTTTGGATGGTAAGACAAGATTACATATCTCCTTGATTATATTCCAAGCATAAATTTCCACAGATCGAGCTATTTCAGGTTTTTAAGGAAAATTTCTTATGTGGGTAAATATTGTCATTTGATATTTATGGAGTGCTATATTGGTTATGGTTATCTTGAATGCACTGCATTGGTATCGTCGAAAGCAGACTTAAAGTATGTTTTTATTCCTTATTCAATGTAGTTGATAGGGGTAGTGGAAAGCTCTTATCCACAAAAGTACAAACAATAAAAAAGATCTCATGCTCTCAAAGTTCATTTTATCACAGTGATTGTAGGAAAATGGAAAGACTCAAATTGTGGTCACCTTTTCAGCTACGACTGTGTTCAGCTTATCTCCCTGCTGGAGAAAAAATTGGGAATGAATTCCACTGAACTGGTTTATCATAA